GGTGGACATTTGCATTGCGATGGGACAGTCAAGCAGCAGCTCATGATCGCCCCCTATAGAGACAAACCCGGTGAATGAGAAAGGTTCTCAATCGATCACATTACCTTCTGATGAATGAAGCAAATCATCCCAAAATTGCCCTTTGGCCCCCACACAAAGACAGGACTATTTCTCAGCAGTCACTTCATAAAGTAGTCATTGTAAAAGGAAATCAAAGATTGGGTGAGGCACGAAAAATTCCCTACAAAAGGACCCCAACAAATTTATAATAGCACCAAAAAAACATAAAGGACAAAGGAACAATTTTTTATTTAAACATGAAATACTTTTGCACTGAGAAATAGGGAACATTGCTGAGGGAAGTTAAAGAAGATCCAAATGAATAAAGAGATATACCATGTTCATGGATGGGAAGACACGGTTTTGTTAAGATGTCACTTTTCTCCATATTGATTTATGTGTATATATATATATATAATATATAAGTTGAGAAGCTGATTCTAAACTCTATATGGAAATGTAAAAACCTAGAATAGGAAAACAGTCTTGGATAGGAACACCACAGTTGGAGACATCAGACTTTTCTATGAAGTAGAGTCATTAAGAGAGTGTGCTGTGGACAGAACAGAGTCCATAAATAGACGCACACATTATACACGATCCACTGAACAGCATCTAGTCTATTCATTTTGGAAAGGAAGGATATTTCAACCAATGTGGTAGAACAAGTGGATCAATGTTTGGAAAAAATGAACTATATATATATTATAATTGGTTTCTATAAGTAGAATCATGCAGTATGTACTCAAGTGGCTTTTTCACTCAGTATTGAATTTTTTGAGATTCATCCATTGTGTGTGTATCAGTACTTTGTTCCTTCATTGCTGAGTAGGTTTCCAGTATATCACAGTTTGTTTACCCTTGTTTTTGTTGATGAACATTGGGCTTGTTTCCCGTTTTTGGCAATTATGAATAAAGCTGCTGTGAATATATTTCTACAAGTTTTATTTTTATTTTTTATTTTTAATTATTTATTTATTTAGTGAAGAAGATCAGCCCTGAGCTAACATCCATGCTAATCTTCCTCTTTTTGCTGAGGAAGACCGGCTCTGAGCTAATGTCCATTGCCAATCCTCCTCCTTTTTTTCCCCAAAAGCCCCAGTAGATAGTTGTATGTCATAGCTGCACATCCTTCCAGTTGCTGTATGTGGGACGCGGCCTCAGCATGGCCGGAGAAGTGGTATGTTGGTGCGCACCTGGCATGCGAACCTGGGATGCCAGTAGTGGAGCGCGCACACCTAACCACTAATCCACGGGGCCGGCCCTTTACAAGTCTTTTCCATGTATGTTTTCATTTCTCTCAAGTGTTGGGGGGCAGGGCCATGATGGAGACAATGATGTCAGAGTCACATGTTGGGAGCTCAAGGGTCTCTGGGACTCCCCATGGAGACCAGCATGCAGCAGGCAGCTGGAGAGACGGATGGTCTGGAGCTCTGGAGGAAGGTAGGGACTGGAGATGGACAGTGGGAACATCATGGGGGTCCATTAATCCTGATAGTGAATGCCTGCTGTTGTGGGTTGAATTATGTCCCCCAAAAAGATTTATTCAGGTTCTCACCCCTGATACCTGTGAACGTGATTTTATTTGGAGACATGACCAAGTTAGTATGAGGTCAGACTTATTTTGCCGGGTGGAGGCGGGGGGCGAGGAGCCCTAAATCCAGTGACTGCTGTCCTTATACAAAGAGCGAAATTTGGACACAGAAACATGTAGGGAAGAAGGCCGTGTGACAGTGGAGGCAGAGATTGGAGTTGTGACGCCACAAGGCAAGAAACGTCAAGGATTGCTGGCAACCACCAGAACCCAGATGAGTCAAGAAAGGATTCTTCCCTAGAGCCTTCCGAGGGTGCGTGGGCCTGCTGAAACCTTGATTGTGGTCTTCCTGCCTCCACAACTGTGAAAGAATAAATTTCTGCTGTTTTAGGCCACACAGCGTGTGTTAATTTGTCACAGCAGCTCTAGGGAACTAATCCATCTGCTTATCACCTATTGTGCATCAACTCCTCACCTCTCCTGTGTTATTCAGTCCTCACAGTGACTCTGAGAGGGTCAGCATTGCCTCTGTGTCACAGAGGAGGCTCGGGTGAGCTGCTCATATCCACACAGGCCAGCAAGTGGAGGGACAAGATAAATCCAGTTAGACAGCCTCAGTGTTACAGGGGGTCGTTATCAGTGGGCCCCAGGGATTTGCCCTGTGTCCAGGCACTGTCCTAACTGGTTGGTGAGCATCAAACAGTCAAGTGTTTCCTAAGAGCAGTGACGACCACAGCTGCTAAGCTGGCCATCCACACTTCTATGGATTCAGCCAGCTCAGAGTCTCTCTCTGTCTCTCTCTTCTCTTTCTTCCACCTCTTGCTCTCCTTCTTTCCTTTCCTTTTTCCTTTTTCTTTCTTTAATTCCCTCCTCCCTCCCTCACTCCCCAGCCTGGTCCTGGAAAGGAAAGGAACAGACTTCCCAGCCTTGTCCTCTCTTTTTATCTGTCTGTGTCCACCTCTGAGACTTTGCCTGGGCAATGTTTCCTCACTGCCCGTTCCCAAGGACAAGTCTATGCCTGATTTGTGATACTGGGTAAAGGTATTTTTGTCTATTTTGATCACCAAGACCAATACCTGACGCATAATATGCTTTTGATAAATATTTTAAAAATTAAAGAAAAGATACTGTTGCTTTAAAATATGTCTCTAGCCCAGGTCTTTGTTCTGAGCCTCGTACTTTCCTAACGGTCCTGATGTTGTCTGTAAGGGCATCTTCAATGCTCCCCATCCCGATAGATGGTGAGCCCATGGGGTTAAGGAGTGGGTCTGTTTTGGCTCCCAGAGCTGTTCAGAAAATTTTGTTGATAAGATAAGTCCCAGAGAAAGCCCTGAGTCAGGTCGATATGTCCCCAGGAGGCAAAGACAAGCAAATTCAGAATCTACCACTTTCAGAGCAAGCAGTAAGTGAGCCTGCTCTTTGTCTTGGAGGAAGACGTGACCTCATCCCTCAAAGTTGCTCCCTGGAAATACATCCATGAGAACTCGGCCAGGTAAGGAGCAGTCAGAGCATCATGATTTGGGTAGAGGCAGCATATGTTGAGAGTATGAGAGACTCAGGACTATCTTTCCCAACAGGTGGTTTTGCTCTTCTTTAATGAAGTGGGAGTTCTCAGAATATTCTCATAAAATTCTCCTTTTTTAGGATAGACTAATAATTCTGTCACTTGTCGTCAACATATTACTATAGAAGCCTGAGCGTGTGGCTGGTTCCCCATCAGAAAACCAGGAGGATGTTGTGAATAGAGAAACCCCAATACTGACATTTCACAACTCTGTTTTCTCACTTCAGGCTTTGTTTGAGAAAGTTGAAAAGGAGATGACTGGAAGGAAGTGACACTGTAGGAAAATAAAATCTCTTTTTTGGCCATAAATCCATTGCACTTTCTTCCATCCAAAGGCAGCCAGACTTTGGTTATGTCTTCAACTCCTCCAAGTACCTCAAAGGATCTGGGCTCTGGAGTGTGGGGTTCTTGTGTGAGCTTCATCAGTTTAGGACGTTCCGGGGGGAAATTGGCTGAGCAACGCTGTTGTAGAGAAAATGAGTCAGTGGGATCCCAACTGTTCTAATCAGGAGCATGAGCTCTACTTATCTTCACTCTAGAAAGTTTACTCCAGTTACCCGATGAGAAGAACTGCAAAAACTGGTTATTTCCAAAAGCAGTGATGTTATACCACTTTCACTCAAGATAAAACGAAAACAAATACATGTTCTCAGTATTTTGAGATGGATGAAGAAGATGTGGTATATATATGCAATGGAATACTACTCAACCATAACAGAGGATGAAATCCAGCCATTTGTGACAACATGGATGGACCTTGAGGGTATTGTGCTAAGTGAAACAAGACAGAGGGAGAAAGTCAAATACCATAAGATCTCACTCATGAGTAGAAGATAAAAACAACAACAAACAATCACATAGAGACAGAGATTGGATTGGTGGTTACCAGAGGGAAATAGGGGAGGAGGAGGGTGACAGGGATGATTAGGCACATGTTTGTGGTGATGGATTTTAATTAGTCTTTCGGTGGTGAACATGATGTAACCTAAGCAGAAATCGAAATATAATGATGTACACCTGAATTTATATAATGTTATATTCCAAAGTTACTGCAATAAAATAAAATAAAAATAATTTGAGAGATTTATTAAGTATAGCACATCTCCCATTAAAAACAAGCAGTAAAAATGAAATTTAGAAGACTAGGTAATTACTCTGCAAAATAAAATAGAACTATATAGCATCATACCTCCAACAGGATCAAATGAGAGAAAAAAACAAATGTCCTGAAACAAAAGAATGGAGTAT